TAAATCAACTAAGTAGTCAGGCCCGAGAAAGGAAGGGTCCACATCTACCGGGTAAGCACCAAAATGTATCCCCGTTAATACTATGAACTAAAAGGGAGTCAGTGTGCACTCCCCAATCGACGTGTGGAATATATCAGTGGTATCACACCAATGCTCCACCAAAGCCCTCCATAAGTCGTGGTAGGTACCCAATCTCCAGCATGGCAAAATGATCCAGACTAAAAGGGGATACCCAATCCCGAACCACCCAATACCTCTAGAAGATGTGTCGAATGATACTCAGATCCTTCAGCGCCCTCTAGAACAGACGGTCATCTAAAATGGGCACCACAGTGTAAAAGTATTATATGCAGCAAAACTAACAAATCATACAAGAAGACAGCAAGAAAGTAGGCCAGTTGCAGAATAACCAAACTCGAAATAGTGTCTCCAGCCCAACTATCAGGGTATCCAAGCCGTCAAAAGTGTTTCCAGACCAGCTCCAGGATAATGAGCCTCGAAATAGGGTTTTCGGGCCAAGTTCAGACAAGCAATAGGGTATCCAAACAAACTATAAGGTAATCAGCCTCAAAACAGGATTTTTATACTAAGATTAGATTAGAAACAAGGGTGATCAGACCATCAACAAGGTATTCAGGGCAACTACCTGGGTTTTCAAACTGAGTTCCAATAAGAACCAGGGTTTCCAGAGTAATTACAAGATAATCAGCCTCGAAACAGGGTTTTCAAACTAAGTCCAGGCAAGGAACATGGTTTCCAGATAAACTATATGATAATCAGCCTTGAAACTGGGTTTCCAAACTAAGTTCAGACAAGCAATAGGGTTTTTAGACCAACTATCGGGTAATCAGCCTCAAAACAGGATTTTCAAACCAAGTCTAGACCAAAATAGGGTTTTCAGACCAAGTTCAAACCAACTACAAAGTTTTCTAAACTCATAACAGGGTTTTCAAGCCAACTACAAAGGTTTTCATACTCATTATAGGATTTTTCAGACCAACTATAGAGGTTTTTAGACTTATAATAGGGTTTTTAGGCCAATTATAGAGATTTTGAGACTCATAACAGGACTTTCAAACCAACTCTAGATCAGAACTAGGATTTTCAGACCAAGTCCAGACCACTACAGGGTAATCAGCCTTAAAATAAGGTATTCGGACCAACTACCAGGGTGTTCAAACCGTCAATAGGGTATTCAGGCCAACTATTGGGTTTTCAAACCAAGATCAAATAAGAAATAGGGTTCTAGACCATCAATAGGGTTTTCAAACCAACTACCAGGGTATCCAGGCTGTCAACAGGGTTTCCACACCAACTACAAATTAATTAGACTTAAAAACAGGGTTTTGAGACTAAGTCTGGACTAACTACAGGGTAATTAGCCTCGAAACAAGGTATTTGGATCAACCACCAGGGTGTCCAAACCGTCAACAAAGTATTCAGGCCAACTACTAGGTTTTCAGACTAGGATCAAACAACTACAGAATAATCAGACTTAAAACAGGATTTTCAGACTAAGTCTAGACCAACTACAAAATAATCAAATTAAAAACACGTTTTACAGACTAATTTCAGACAATCAGACTCCTATCGGGACTTCCAACATGGTCTAAGGAGGTTAAAGCTTCGATTAAAGCTGAAAATAGGCCACCAGGGAAAAGACTGGTTTTCCCGATAATCCGGAGTCAAATAGTAATTTTCAAACAATCACCTCCTTCCCCTTCATTTCTCACCTCTTGTTGCTTGGTTGAATGTTTCTCAAGCATCAATGACTCTCTCTCTCCCTCAAATGCTATTCTAAGGCCATAAAGTCTGATTTTTGCTATTCTTTTATAGTTGAGCAAAAACCCGACTTGGTTCTCAAACGTCGATCTTTTCGATGTTCAATCACACTTTGGTCTTCCTTAAACCAAAGCTACTAGTTAATTAATTTATTATTAATTAATTTAAGAAGTTAATTAATTTATTATTAATTAATTTAAGAATTAATTGTAATAATACGTTAAATAATAATATTATAAAGGCTACATTAGGGCCCCGATCTTTTCGATGTTCAATCACACTTTGGTCTTCCTTAAACCAAAGCTACTAGTTAATTAATTTATTATTAATTAATTTAAGAATTAATTAATAATACTTTAAATAATAATATTATAAAGGCTACATTAGGGCCCTCATGTCCATCCTTAGCGATATTACGGAGTAAGACTCGATCTCCTTGATCGAGAAGGCGAATCGAGGAATCCAGAAGTCACACGCACGATCAAATCAACCTCTCGAACCTGACCTAATATAGGGTATAATCACTAAACTCAGACTTTATCAATTTAAGCCCGGTCCGTCCGGCACTCAATATTTGTCAAGCTCGATCCATCCAGAACCTAATATCTGTCAAGCCCATTCTAAGAATGGCAAAACCCTACCATCCTAATCGATGGTAGAACTTCGTGTGCCTTGATCCTCACACAAATGAGGTACGAAGGCTTACCTATAGATTTTAGCCTAGGTAGCAGGCCCACGACCAAACTGACTGGTCAGGATATAGGAAAATGTGTCGCACAACCTAGAATCCTCGATAATCGAGGCTAGAGTCGGACTCCCCTCCGAATTACACCATTTACCCATTTATTACTTTTAATGCACTATATTTCTAATGTTGCCATGCATTATTAGTATGTTCGTGCATTGATAAATTGACATTCATGCAAAACACTGATTTTGATTTCTCGTTTAATACCTAAACTATTGATTTATATGAAAAGAAGTTGAAAACTCAATCCCCAAACCCCATAATTCAAGGCTAGTGCATTTTATCCTTATGGCAAACTGCAATGGACTCAAACACAGTGTTTTTACCTTATATTTTCCCTAAACATAAAAACAATTTAAGGTGGCGACTCTAAACACACTACACACAGTCAAAGCACTTCGAAGAGCCGACCCGATATCACTTAAGCGCTAAATCGAGCCATAATCACAACCAAAAAAGAACCATAAGGAGTTCCTCCCAATTTTCGTGACAAACCGACCAATTGGCCTGTCTAGATTGACTCCATCCTTTGAATCTTTCCCGTGGCGCTCGGTTGGGGGCTCACACATGGCGTGCCAAAATTTTGTTTGAGTCTCATGACACTCTAGCTGGTGGACATGGTGGTTACCTTAAGACATTGCAATGTGTCTCCAAGAGTTTTTATTAATCCAATCTCAAGCAAGAAGTTAAGCAATATGTGTAAAATTGCTTACACTGCCAACAAAAGAAATATCAGGTATTGGCAACAGCAGGTCTTCCCCAACCTTTGCCAATTGTAGACCAGATTTGGGAAGACGTTTCTATAGACTTCATAATGGGACTTCCAAAATCTAACAACTTGATTACAATTTTAGTTGAAGTTGATAGGCTGAGCAAATATGCCTACTTCATACCCTTAGCTCATCATTTTACAGCCAAGAAAGTGGCTAAACATTTTTGTAAAGAGATTGTTTGCCTTCATGGTATCCCTATATCTATTATTTCTAATAGGGAACGCTGGCATCATATTTTTCATGTTTCACTACTATGTCCACCAAGAGGCCAATTCCCTACATCTCCACCACCTCTGCCAATTTCAAAGGATGGTGAATTACCCTTTTTTCCAGCTAAAGTACAATCTCATCGTCGGGTCCTTACAGGGGGAATTCCTACTTTAGTTGTTGATTGAATGGAAAGATAGGCCGATGGAGGAAGCATCTTGGGAAAATTACGATTTACTTCAAGGCCAATTTCCCACATTTCGACTTGAGGACAAGTCATTTTTCAGGGGGCAGCATTGATACAAACCCATGACCCTTACGGATTTATGAAAGAAGACGTAAATATCAACATGCAAGTGACAAATAAGAGGAGTTAGAGGCTGACCGATTCTTATATTTCAGCACAAGAATAGGTCAACATCGTTGTGGAATGAGTGGCTTGAGGAGTGGATTACACTTCCTATATTTCAACATTTCAATTTAAGTGTTATCTCATAAACCTAGGAATTATAAATAGACCTATGATATTTCTTTTTTAGCATCATCTGAAAAGTATTTAATTCCAACTTGTACTGGAGATTTGTTCATCTCAAATAGGACAGTTTCAGCAATATTATATCTACTCATTCTCTTTTCGATCCATTTGTTCATCTTAAGTTTTACTGCTCATTAACAGATTCTTATTGAGAATACTATTATCACCTACAGAGAAATCCATTCCGTTTCAAAAGAAAAATAATTTTCAATCCATTTATGCTTTGCAATGACAATAAACAAAACTTAAGGATAAACAATCTTATATATTGACGTATATTTACCACAAGATGTTTTCTCTCACATGACATTATCAAGAGGCATATTGATGCCAACTATGAAATTCCTTGTAAAACCATAAAAAAAAAGGGAAGCATGCACAAAAAACATAGTTTACAAAGAGGTCTTGTTACCAAATTTTAATATAAAGACAATACTTATATTCAAATACATTTACAGTAAACATTGTTTATATTATTAAAAATAATGAATATTAATAATGTCTTTTACAATACAATACACCAGTATTTAAAAAAGAATAGAAATGACAAATTTTATATCAAAGTGTTGTTTTAAAGGCAGAAAAAGAAACACCGTCTTCCTTTCAATTAGATATTGCAGTGTAAGACACATAAAAAAAATCATAGTTTACATGAAGTATAATATAAATTAATAATAAGATTTATTTTAATCTAAATAAGAACTTATGCTTTAATATATATAAATATAAATAAAAAATAAACAAATACAAAAAATGAGTATATTATGAGCTTAATCAATGTGTAACATGTCATCAAAAAATTAGTATACTTCAAAATGTGTGGATTTTAAATTGTGTAAATTTTGTGAAATCTACTAATTGCACATTGTATCAATCCAAACAACTAATTTAATGTTTTATTATTGTGTAATTTACTTTCACATGTACTTTTGACTCTTACCTAGCAGCAAGTGAATTATGTATTGTTTGGCTACATGTACTTATCTCCAACATCAGATGCATTTGCATAAGCTATTGAGAAACTCTCTTCGCCTCTTGCATCTCCTCCATAAACGGCTCTCTGCGTTTTCCAGAAACGGCTCTCTCTTGCTAAAAGATCAGGTCTTTCTCCAAAATTTCAAATAAAAATCTGGTATTATATAATTTATCCATCAAATTCTGTGATTTTCACCTGTATTGCTTGTGTGTTTTTTATTTTATCAATTTCTCCTTCAATCTGGATCGATGAATTTGAGTTTTGGATCGAGAATACTGAGCGTTTGTGGGAAAAAGCGATCTGGATCCCACTTTCATTTGGGGTTGAGCGATCGTGGGAACAGTTATTTAAATGAGCTCATATCAAGTGGATTTTTGGTATTTGGTGTGAGATTAAGCTCATGCACATTTCATTGAATTTTCCATAATTTCTAAATAATATTTACTTTCCGGAAAACTAAAAATCTGAATGGAACTACTCAGTTATCCAGTAATTGAAAAGAAAGAAGAAAGAACAGTACCCATTTTGAGCTGTGAACTTTGGTCATACTTTAGACTCCCATACACAACATTATGTTTGTTCTCTCTTTATTTTCTTTGGCTAATTAGGAAAGTGTTTGTAAGTTTAGTTTGACGAATAGTTTCTGGTATTATCTCTGCATGTTGTATTGAAATGGTACTGCTTGCTTATCAGAACTTAATGTTGCATTGCGAAAGTCATCTATATCAAGAACATAAACGTGTTTTCTAATGGTTGTAATTTGTGTTCTAGACAGAAGTTAGTTTCTCGGTTCTTGGAGTCAGTCTATGTTCTTGTTATTTTGTTCTATCCCTATTCCATGCCTTTTTGTGTAGATGATACCACTTCACTCAATTTTTATAGTTCTCCAAATACCAAATCGCAAGTCCTGTAAAAATCCAAGTTTGTTTATGTATACAACATTGTGGTTCACTGAATACAGAATTGGTGTTGATGGTCTGAAACATGATCCGTATTTAGAAATATGGAATTGCAATTAAGCATGAGTTAAACTTGCAAAGTTTTGAGGATTTTATGATCGGTGAACGGGAAGATTCTTATTCCTTTACGACTGGCTTGATGCAGATTTTGAAAAGGGAAGCAGTGAGTGGAGTTCATCTGAGCTGTTGTACCTTTTCTGTACTTGACAGTTACCCCTTTGCCGAGGCGTCAGCTATTTTCAAGGTAGGCCTAGCTCAGACCTTAATTCAGCATGGTCACTCAATTATTCTTACCAACTGGTTTAATTTGGATGTGTGTACTAGCTTGAGTTCTGTGAATGAATCCAAGCCGGGATAGCCTGATATTATTTGTTGGCTTTTAGGTTTATGAATGGAGTACTGAATTTACTATCCTATCTTCTCTGTAGAAAGTTATGGACATACAAAGATTATGGATCATTCATTTTCTTGTGTACTGAAATATTTATCTGTTAGATTAGCTCTTAACTTAGCTAAAGTAGAGGAATATTTTGGAATTGTAATCACAGAAGCTCCATGTAAAAACTATAAAGCTGGACTTGACATACATGTATTTGGGAGCAGGTATTGGCAGAATGGTTGCGCTTTTTCTCTAGTAACCCAAATTTAGAAATTTCTTCTGTGTACACACACACACACACACACACACACACACACACACACAAGCACACATACATGTCTTAAGTTGACATATATATGAATTTTTCCTTTCCATTTTTTTTCTGCAATCTCACATTATCATGCGGACAATTTTTTTCATTCTTTACTTGTGCTCAATTTTAGGATCTAAAACCTTCGTTTTACTATGTTATGCAGGCAGATATTTATTACAATTCTTTTGAGGGTTCTCATATTATATTCCTCTATTGCATATCTATCGTTGCTATACTATATGGGCTGAGGTTTACGTTTCATGGGAGGTGTAGAAGATGATGAACCAGTGTCAAAACGCATGAAATTAGCCTCTGGAGAGTTGACAGGTCTTTCCAACGGTTCTTCTTTAATAGAGACCATAGTTGGGTCTTCAAGGGACTTGATGGCTCGGCCCCTACAATCTGAAGGGGACGAAGAGGTTGTTGGCTCGAAAGGAGTTATTAAAAGAGTTGAATTTGTCAGAATAATAGCCAAAGCATTATATTCTCTTGGATATAAGAAGAGCAGTGCTCATTTAGAGGAAGAATCAGGGATCCCCTTACAATCATCTGCTGTAAATTTATTTATGCAGCAAATTCTTGATGGCAGTTGGGATGAAAGTGTAGTCACATTGCATAATATCGGTCTGAAAGATGAAAGCATTGTTAAGTCAGCCGCTTTTCTGATATTAGAACAGAAGTTTTTTGAGCTTTTAGATGGGGGAAAAGTCATGGTTGCTTTAAACACATTGAGGGAAGAGATTGCTCCACTTTGCATCAATAATGGCAGAGTCCGTGAGCTGTCTTCCTTCATTGTCTCTCCTGCATTTTGTGCTTCAATTGGGTCTTCTAATCAGGATACTTCAAGGATGAAATCTCGGTCAAAGCTGCTGGAGGAATTACAACAATTGCTTCCTCCAACAGTTATAATACCTGAAAGGAGGTTGGAATATTTAGTTGAACAGGCACTGACCTTGCAAAAAGATGCATGCATATTTCACAACTCCATGGATAATGAGATGTCATTATACACAGATCATAACTGTGGAAGAGATCAAATTCCTTCTCGAACTTTGCAGGTTAGAATATAATCTTTAAAATCAAGGTTTGCATCTATTTACTCCTGTTCTTTGAAAATTTGTGTTGGTCCTGTTGGAAGGTTTACTTTATTAATTCAGATTTATGCTTTAATACTTTTCAACTCATAGTAATACAGAATTATTGTGTTGTTTGTCAAATTCTTAGAGGCTAAATCATGCTTTAGGTTTTTCTATGAGGATATGAGCTTCAGTTATTGAGATGTAGACCTATGTTTCAAGTTTTACTCTCTCAACTAATACATTAAGGATTTTATTCTGAGGTGCTGCAAGTGGTCAGTGTTTTTTCTTGATGAAAGTCTCCTTTATCTTCTCTTTTTCTTTATAGATATTTTTTTCCTGATGGCCATGCAGCAGTGAAATGGTTCATAATCACAAACATAGCTCGTAGATAGCCTGATTCTTGAAGGGCATCTTTCAACCTAAAGTAATGGTACATAATTAGAGGTTAACTTTGGTCATAATAGGAAGAAGGCAAGAAATGCAATTTGGGAATCTGACATAGGACAGGTTGAAGAATTTTGGTTGTAATAGAAGGAAGGCAAGAAATTCAATTTGTGAATCTGACATAGGACAGGTTGAACAACCTAATCACATGTTGCGATAGGGCTTGAAACAAGAGATTTGTGATTGAAAATATAAAGAGGTCTTGTTCTAGCCTGCACATTCTATTTTGAATAGTTTTCAAATCCCTTAATCTAATTTTAGGGCAAAAAAGAAGAAGATTTCCTTCTTTTTTTTTTTTTTTTTTTTTTTTTTTTTTATCAAGAGATTTGGTGGGATTGAAAATATAAAGAGGTTCCTTGTTTCTAGCAGCCCTGCAACAATTCGTATTTTGGAAATAGTTATTCAATTGCCTTAATCTAATTTGTAGGGCAAAAAAGGAAAGAAAAGATTTTCCTTCTTTTTTGAGTGAGTTATGGTTGTATTTTTTTTTGTTGTTTTTTTTTGTTGAAATGCTAGATAGATTTCCTTTCTGGAATTTGTGGGAACCGAAAAGTTGTTAGAAGGTGGTTTTTTGCGAGTAGAAGAATTTGCATTTTTTTTTTTTTTAAGTTAACGCCTGGAAGGGAAAGTTATCGTATGGGCTGACTTGTCGAGTTAGAGTTGAAATTTAGTTTAGCAGATTAGGGGCCTTGTGTAGTTGTGCTGAAGTTGTTGGTGAGCTTGAAGAAGGATCACGTTAGAGGTTTGGTTTGGTCGCCATTAGATAGTCTGGCAATTCGAATGATATTGGGGAGGTTGGTATTAGTTCTTGTGCAGTGAATGCACTTATTAGAAGTTAAGAACACAGAAATAAAGAACCTTGATTCCATTATGCAAAAGTTTTAAAAACAAAATTTTTATGGGGTTGCATGTGTTTAGGGTATAGCTCGTCGCATAGCTTTTGCCTTGCCAAAGTGAGAGATTAAGAAATCTTTGGCGAAAAATGACTAACTTTGACTTAAGGAAAACTATGTGGAAGCAGTCTTAAACAGCAGTTAAAATTAACAGGAGAGTTAATGAATCAAATTGTTAAGACAAATTATACTGTTTCCTTGTGTGATCTTGGTGCCTCTCTAAGTGCAGCGTCGCACATATATGACATTGTTAGCCAAAATAGAATAGGTAATTTGGGTGGGACTTAATTGAGTTTTATTTCGAGCGACATTTCGAATATTAATCATTTTTTTTTTTTTTTTTTTTTTTTTTTTTTGATAATAGAAGATTTCCTTCTTGGAATTGTGGGACCAAGTTGTTAAAGGTTTTTGAGTAGAAAGAAATTTGCATTTTTTTTTTTTTAAGTTAGCCTGAAGGGAAATTTGATGGGGACTGAGTAAGGAAATATTTACAGAATTAGGCTGTAGTTGTGCTGGAAGTTTGGGGCTGGAAAGACAGTTAGAGGTTGGTTTGGTCGCTAGAAGTCTGGCATTCGAATGATATTGGAGGTTGGTTTAGTCTCTGTGCATGATGACTTTAGAGTTAAGACACAAATAAAGACCTGATTCCATTATCAAAATTCTAAAACAAAATTTTTGGGTTGCATTGTTTTGGTATACCTCGCAACTTTTCCTTGCAAGTGAGGATTAGAAATCTTGGCAAATGACTAACTTGACTTAAGGAAACTATTGGAGCGTCTAAACTACAGTTAAAATTAGGAGGGTTAATGATCAAATTGTAACAATTATATTTCTTGTTGATTTTCTCTCTAAGGCAGGTGCATATGATGACATTGTAGCCAAATAGAATAGTAATTTGGACTTAATTGAGTTTTATTTCTAGCTACATTTCGAATATTAATCATTATTTACTTCAAATCTTAGTATTGAAAAAGATGAAAAGAAGATCATTATCAAGTTCAAGTTATTAAATTGTAAAGCATTTTATTCCTTAAAAAATATCTTTATTTAGCTTAAAAATGTATTAATTTACTGTAATGCCATGTCATCAGGAGATTATGGATTAGAGACTAAAAGGAAAGGGTGGATACAACTTTAATCAACGTTAAAGTTAATATCATTTATTGTTGAAGATTACTTGAAAAAAGTATAATCCGGATTTATTTGTTCATTAGTGATTAGCCTTTATTGAAAATACTATTATCTTTTTAGGTTCCTATATTTACCAATTTAGATACAACTCACAGGATCGAATTTTAAAATGAAGATTATTTTACATATTTTTAGGCTTTCCCTAAAGATTTGGCAAACCTTGCATATAAAGTTTAAAAGGGTGAACCTAGAAAGAAATAGCTACTAAAATGCTTCCCCTGTAGTTGCATGAGACCATCATAATTTGAATGGCAATGATTTGCTTCAAGAATCATTTACAATGAGGTCAAAATTAGTGGCCGTGATTGTATTATATAGGGATTGGTAGGTTAGACTATAGACAGTATGGTGTACATGAGTGATTTTGAGTGAAGTTGAACATATCAACAGGATAATTATTTGCTGCGAGTAAAAGTTTTAAACATACAATCTTATAGGCTTGAAATGTGAGTTGAGGTTTTAGAGTAATTACTTCTATAGATCTTTGAAAGGTCAGTTTGTCCTTGAGGCCTTTGATTCTGGTTGGATATGTCCTTTATGTAATGAGAAGCTTTTAAAATTTAGGGTTTGGATCGCATGTGTTTCGATTTATATATTGAATCCTTATTATTGATTTTTTTTTTTGCAATTGCACTTTTCACAATTTTCGAAAATTAAATGATATTTACTGAATATCCATGGTTGCCAATTACAACTGTTGGTAGTGAAAGAGATTGCTTAAAAGTGGACAAAGAAATTGAAAGTGAAGTGAGGTTAATGCGAGAAGTTAAGTGGACAAAGAAATTGTAAGCGAAGCGAGAGATTAATGCAAGAGGTTAGTTCAAAATTTATGTTTGGAAATTGCTATGTTGACTGTCGGGCAGATTGTTTAAGAGTGGATAAAGCTTGAATGTGAGGTGAGAGACTGATGCAAGAAGTTAGGTTAAGGCTGAGGTGAAAAACACAGCATAGAAAGAGTAACAAATGAAGAGTAAAGATTTGCTATTTGCAGTGGCTTGATGGAGAAGGGAAGAAACAAACATATGGGTTGAGATCTAAAAGAAAAAGGAAAAAATGAAAAATGTCATTTTTTTCAAGATAAGAAGTATTATTGAGAAAGGAATAAGTGAATGTACATCACGAAAGCTAGTAAATTATCCTATAGGTCAAAAAACGTCTGAGGAAAAGACACATAAGTTGCAAGCCAAAGATGTAATGTCCTCCAATCACATTGGATAACAAAGAGACTCTAAAAGCTTTAGAAGTGTAAGTCCGAATAGAACTCGAAAACACCACCTTGCGCGCAACAAACTACTGGATGTCCTATGGTTTTTGAAGATACATGCATTTCTCTTTCCCGTGATCCAAAGACTGAAAACTCCACATTTCCACAGAATACTGCCACCAATCCCTTTTTGTTTTAAATCAACAATTCTAATGCCAGGCAGTACTACTCAGAAATGCTAAAAAGGTGAATCCAAATAGCCTAAGCCACTTCACAATGGAAAATAGGTAAGAATGAGTCTCGCACAACTATTATAGTACATAATACACCAGTTGGGAGATTAAACCTTACAAGGCCTTCTTTTTGGCAAAAGATCATTAGCATTTACTTTAGGGAAGTGATGACCAAACAAAAGCTCTTACTTTGAGTGACACTTTAACTTTCCTTAATTTTTATTTGAATCTTGAAATGAATAATCTTAAGAAGGGGATTAAGGTGAAAATAAAAGGATTTACTAGAAGAATTTTAAAGGAATCCAAATACCAAATACCAAATATCATTGTCTATACTAGGTGACAGTTGAACATAATCTAACAAAACAAGTAGCAAATGTAGTTACTGCATTGAGTCTCATGCTCAACTGTCATTGGTTGCACCTTGTAAGATTGTTTTTATGCTTCAATCCTTTTTCTTCTATTTCCTTAAAACTTTTTTGCTTTGGAGACTAGTTGCATGGGTGATGGTGGGTCTTGAGAGTGTTGTTGTGTTTGTTTGGATTGGTTTGGTAACAAGGAAAAACCTTCAAGAATTCTTCTCCCCTAAAGATGATATCCAATTTGCCAATAACATGTACTTTCTTTTCTTTTTCTTTTTTGTCTTGGTCTTTTTTTTGTCTTCTCTTTTTATGTCTTAAATGATTTTCAATTACAATTTTCATATTTTCAGGATCTATGAGACTGTACCTGTGTCAAATTAATTTAATTAATGGCTATTCATATTTTGGAAATCCAACTCTTATACAACAATACTTCAATATTTTTTGGCTGGTGTTCAATACACTTTTTTTGCTAAACTCAATTGTATCGATTCTAGTAGTATTCTTTGATTATTTCATCTGTCTTTTTCTAGAAGACTAGTGTATATGTGTTTTGCTGAAGCATCTTTGTAGAGTCGAATTGAATAGAATGATTGAGTTTGATTCTTCACATAAATTTCAGTTATTTTCAATTTTGTCATTTTCTTGAACT